TCTACTTCATCTACACCATCATCACATTCGTTCGTTGTCGTCATTCTCTGAATCATCATCATCATTGTTACCAGCCCAAACTACAACAGCAAATTCTAGCAACTCGATACCAGCTCAAACTCCTCCTGGTATTTTGAGTTGATGGCAGATGACAATGGAGAGTCGTATTCCTTTTTTGGGGGGGGGAATAGTAGGTGCAAACGCCATAAACCAATCACACTTTGTTGGAATGACAAACTCATAAGAGATTGGGAGGGCAGGACGACATCCTCCTACCGAGCATTCCGTTGATCTCTCGCATCCAGAGCCTCCAGCTCTCTCTCGTTCAGCACCTCCACCACTGGTTCCCACGCTTCCCACTCAGTCTTCTTTCTGCACAATCACCTCCGCCACCAGAGTAAGTCAAAATGTCTGAGAACTTGCAAAAACGCCAAAATCACACATTCTATAAAATGATTAAAATCAAAAGAACTAATTCGGATGCACTGCTTCTCTACCCCTGCCTGCTTCCTTTGACCTTCTCTAATCCATCCTCTTGGGTCCCAGGGACTCCCAGTCTTCCTCTTGGGTCCCAGGGACTCCCAGTCTTCCTCTTGGGTCCCAGGGACTCCCAGCCTTCCTCTTGTCCCATTTTCAAAAGATGGGCTTATCATGCAAAAATTGCACTGAACAGTCTGGACTCTGAGGAGTCTGTGAGGACCCATAATATTGTTGTTTACGAACGGGCCTAGCTCAGTTAGTACACCCATAAACTGTAGGAATCATGGTGGGACCACTGGAACTCTGACCTTGGTTCCAATCCAGATGGAACCAGGGCGATCAGCTCGACGTTGACATCTCAAGGCCGTCACCCCCCCAAAAAAACAATAAAATAATAAAATAATAAAATAATGAAATAATGAAATAATAAAATAATAAAATAATAAAATAATAAAATAATAAAATAAATTAAAATAATAAAATAATAAAATAATAAATTGTTGCTTCAAAAAACTGAACTAGGTAGGCCATAAGGCCCAGATAAAAGGAAGGACATGGTTGGAAAAAGAAAAAGACGTTTCTCTACTAATCTCTAGTCTCCTTTTCCCCTGTAGGAATCATGGTGGGACCATTCGAACTATAAATATATTGACGTGGTGCTCTGAAGTCCTGAGCAGAATCACACACTTGCGCAGGAAATATTGCGCTTCCACTGCCGCCTATCTACAGGAGATAGCAGGAACACACAGTGGTTGCACCGTTGCACAGTATGAGATCACAGCTCAAGAAACAGAAAAGAATGACCACATTGTGGGGAGTGCTTCCACTACTACACTCTTCATCCGAATAGAATGCCCGGTCATTATAGCTTTGTATTGGGGCACGTTTCAATCCAGATACAGCGACAATGACCAAGCGTTCTATTCTGGTGAAGACGGAACTGCTGAACAGTGACGTGCGAAGCAAGGAATCAAGAGAAAAACAGGGAACACACACACACACACACACACACACACACACACACACACACACACACACACACACACAGCGCAATAAGGTGATCTATGATTCTATGATGCTTGTCTTGAGCAGATGCACCAGGTGGCCACGCGAAACACCAAGCCCAGCCTCAAAGCACACGATGTGCTGACGTGTGACGTCAAAAAAAGGAATGGTGTGATCTAAAACCGTGCTGACTGGTAAGACCGTGCTGACTGGTGTACCCACTTGGTGGCTGAATGGCATGCGCCTCAAACCGTGAAACCACCAGTACTAGGCCCATACATCAGCCACAGGCCCTTCACGTTGACACGCCGCATTTTTTGGGCTTTGTGTGTGTACCTGAGCAAAACGCCTAGCGGCGCCAGCCAAAAGAAAGTGCACCAGTTCCTTTTTTTTTGGCGCCCGCCGCCGCCCAGTGCATTTCCAGCAATCGAGAAAACTGCCTCGGAGGTTTAATAAACAAATGGTGACATCGGTGGCATGGACCCAAAATTGTTGACAAGCAAATGGTGAACCTTTGCGAGTTCAAATCCTGATCCCGATACAATAGTGCTAGGGACGTAAACCCGTCCCCTCGCTGTCCCAACGGCAGCAAAAAAAAGAAAAAAAGAAAAAAAAAAAGGTGCCGAATCTGCCGATCAGAAAAGTATTGAAAAAATGAACAAGAGAAAGGTGAAGGAAGCACAACTACCAGTGTGATCCACCAAATGGAGTTTGCAAATCTCTGTGACTATACCCCACTTCATCTGCCCATTTTAGGTTTTTGGCTATACAAGATGAAGTGGGGTATAGTCACAGAAATTGACCGATGACAAGCACGCGAAGCGCTAAAGCCTAAAAGCGTTCCTCACAGCAGGATGCATCCATCAATCAGTGAGCTATGAGACAGAGATTGTGGGGGGGGGGGGGAAGGGGGCAAGCTTCAAGAAAGGGCAGGTCAAGTGAAGTGCAACCACTGAAGCAGTAAATGAAACTACCATGTGAAGTTTGCAAACATGATGACTGGCAGGTTAACAGCCCAGCTGTGCCCAAGGCAATGCAAATGGACACAATGTGACACAATGGGACTTCCCCTTGTATTTTTTGACAACCCCTGTGCAGGGGGGGATTGCCTGTTCAAACTTCAAAGCAAAGCAGGGACAAGTCAAGAGATGCGACTGTGCAACCATGCGACAAGAGAGAGAGAGAGAGAGAGAGAGAGAGAGAGAGAGAGAGAGAGAGAGAGAGAGAGAGAGAGAGAGAGAGAGAGAGCAGGGGGAGGAATGGGGGTTGAGACGATGGAAGAGGAAAGAGAAGAACTGAGATGGGAAGTGAAGGACGAGAGATGACAGGACAAAAGAAACAGAAGATTAGGACAACAGAAAAGACAAGTGAGGAGAAGGAAAAGAAGAAGAAGGGAGAAGAGACGTGAGAGAACAGAGACAATGAGAGGGACAACAAGAGCGGAAGGGGGGGCATGGTCATACCTTTGTACACAGTACTTGTTGTTTGGCCTTCTCATCAGATTCAATGCAGTTGTACCATTTATTCTGCAAAACAGATTTTTAAAGGTATCAGTGTCCGTATCACCACATTAGTCATTTGTTGTGTCACTAGACTAAGATGCTGACTATAAGAACGTCTTCAGCAAAAGAAGAGCAAATCGCCTAGATAAATAATCGATCGTAGTTATGAAAAATAGTGAAAGGATTCGAACTTCAAAGGAATCACGGGGCAAGCAGATGGATTGAGGGAGGACACTCAGGAAAGGCAACTTGTCAGACAAAGGAATGGTTGGCACTCACATGGACATCAGAAGAATCTAGAATCTAGATAGGATCAAAGAGGAGGCAGCACAATAAGTTCAATAACTAAGAAAGAAAAAGAATTCCTGGCCTCCTTCGGTTCTTGATAATATAAGCATGCTCTCTATTAAAAGAAGAAGAAGAAGAAGAAGAAGAAGAAGAAGAAGAAAGAAAGAAAAAGAAAGAAAGAAAGAAAGAAAGAAAGAAAGAAAGAAAGAAAGAAAACGAAAGAGAAAGAAAGCAGGGAGCAGAACAACTGTGAGGACTGCTTGAGGCATTGGTCAAAACAAAAAACAAAAAAAAACAAAAAAAAACCGGAAATTATATAGCAGATAGAAGATTTGGCCCGCCCATGTAAGGATGGCATGCACAAATCAAGAAATAATCTGAGATGGGCGGGCCGATCTTCCATCCGCTATAAATTTTCTGCCCAAACAATAGGCACAAAAACAAAGATGAGGGGCGAAAAGTGGTGGGGACGGAACCGTCAGGCAAATGGCTTATCTCTTTCAGGAACAGCTCTTTTGTTTCTAAATTGCCAAACTTTCACACAACTGCTTCTCTCTCTCTCTCTCTCTCTCTCTCTCTCTCTCTCTCTCTCTCTCTCTCTCTCTCTCTCTCTCTCTCTCCCCCCACTCCCCCCACCCCCCTCTCTCTCTCTCTCTCTCTCTCTCTCTCTCTCTCTCTCTCTCTCTCTCTCTCTCTCTCTCTCTCTCTCTCTCTCCTCTAGTGGCTAAGAAGGCATTTGTACTTGCTCTTTCTTTTGTCAGGGCCTTGGAGCCAAGCACTCTCCTCAAGAGGTGCCTGAGGAGAGTTGGATAGTCAAGGGCTGACATGAAATACCTAACAGAATCACAGAGGCAACGAATCAGGAGGGAGCATTCAAGGCCAACGACCCCTAGGGCCCTATCATAACCGTTTTCAACAGGACTCAATCGCCGGCCTCCTTGATCAACATGTGCACTCGCACCCAAGATGCCCCTAGGGTAATGGGGATTAAACCACCACCACCACCCAGTTTTTTTGTTGCTGGCTCCGACGCAGCGCTGGCATCCCAACCAAAACTGGCCCAGGAACCGTTTTCAATTTGCCGCTTAAGGAGGTTGTGGGTTCGATTCCCCACTTTGTCTGTTCGACTTCCCACGGCCCCCTGTGGCGCACTTCCGGTTCACCGACTAAGATAAGTTCGCTTGCCCCCTCTGGCTGGTCTTGGCAGGAGTCTGGGTTCCATCCATCCCTCGCTAGGGGTTAGGACTTAGGAGGCTGGGTACTACTCGCTGCACAGACTAGAGTGGATAGAATCCGATAGATATAAGCTGGGCTCCCTCTAGCAATTCCCCTAGCGATTCCTGTCGTCAGCTAGTGTGAGGTGCAGGGCGGATAGACATAGTCACATAGGCTTAGTCCACCTCGCGGGTCGTTCAGGATGAGAGAGTAGAGTGGATCGATGATGTCACCATTCACTGCGTAAATGTGGAATCCCACCATGCTAGATGCATGGGTAAGGTAGCACAGGTTATGTACTATGTTGGTAGCGCATGTGAGGTGGAAAACTATTGAGCGATGCAAATAGCATAGTGACTACCGCTGTCCCCCATATGAGGAGAAGATAGCTTGTATTTGAAAAAAAAAAGGAAAAAAAACACCACAGCCAAACCTGCCCTGTGTGATGACCCCGTCCATACATGGACTGAAACACAGCTGATTTCTGAGTTTTGCCCATAGACTGAATCCCCTGCTGAGTTTCCCGCTTGCTACTAAGTCTGTGTGTGCACGCTTGCTGGACTGCATGTCTGTCTGAGTGCTGGATGGCTTGAGTGTGTGTGTGACCATGCCTGTCTGAGTGTTGGTTGGCYTGGGTGTGTGTGTGACCGTGCCTGTCTGAGTGCTGGTTGGCATGAGTATGTGTGCGGCCCGTCAGGGCACTTGCTCGTTCGTTGGGCCCTCAGGGCCGGTACTTACCTGTGGCCGTGACATTGAGGGGTTGCAGCGGGGAAAAACACTAAAGTAGCGGGTAGGCCGGTACCACACCTGGAAGGGGGTAGATGTGCAGGTACCGGAGGCCGAGCAGAAGAAGACAAAAGTGGCATTTTTAGAGGCCCAGTAGTTGTAGGTAGGTCCAGGCCGATATCAGTCCAACCAGTCTGGGTCTAGGGCCTGTAACGGGCAATATCAGAGTCTGCAATGATGTTTCCCTCCGAAAGGGAGGAGGTACCGGTTGCTTGGGAGGCCGACCGGCCTGGAAGTCACCGCCCAAGAGGCAAAGCAGGCCGCTATATCTTCGGGCCGGGCGGAGAGTCCGGCCTCTTTTCCGGTGTGCAAGTTTGGCGACACACTGGTGGAGCACTGGCTGGAGCAGCACTAAGCTGGAGCAGTGCTGCTGGGGAGGAAGGAGAAGGACATGAGGGAGGAAGAAGGAGGAAGAAGGAAGGAAGGGGGAGGAGCGCCAGGGGTACTTACCTGGCTATGGTGGCAGCCATCTTCATCACCTTGGTGGGCGCTGCAGCAGGGAGTCCCCAGCTGGGGAGAGCTACACCAAGAAGCTTCGGGGCAGGGGCAGGCATGGCGGCCTGAGCTAGAGCAGCCATAGTTGCTTTGGGTTGTCCTTTGGGCATCTGAGCAGAGCCCAGTAGTCCGCCATAGCCTCGGCCTATGAGAGTGAAGAGTGGGAGAGGCGACCATGGCTATGGTGGACCTTAAGTGATACCTGCAGTAGAAGAGGGACTCGGACATTGATTCTGGTTCAGTCATTCAACATTGTACTATTATTTATTGTATGAATAAGAGAAGGGGGAGATAAGGAGGAGGAAATTGTTGGGCGAAGAAGAAGAGCCTTGTCATTGTCTTTGCTGGTGTACATCTTCTTCTTCTTCTTTCTTATTTCTTCTTCTTCTTCTAATCCTCTCTCTCTCCTCTCAAGTTCATTCATTTCTTTCTGCAATTGGATGGCATTGTACTTTCCGGTGGATGTGTATCTCGAAATTGGCCAGGGTCATAACACCTGGGCCTTTTTCCGAGTCTGGTTTGGGGCCTACCAGTCACCAACTACAAATTTTCTTCCTCTCTCATCGAGGGTAGGGGTTTAAGTTTCCGTTTAACTTCCATTTTTTTAAAGGTTCTTACTCCTTCGATCAGGGTAGTGGTTTTAGGTTCTTAGTTCGTCTTACTACTTCGACCAGGGTAGTCGTTTACGCAACTTTACGGTTCTTACTACATTGATCAGGATAGTGGTTTTACCGTTTTAGCCTTTTAGCCTTTTAGCCTTTTAGGCTTTTAGCCTTTTAGGTTCTTAGTACCTTTGAAGTTAGTAAGCCATCTTAAAGTTATTAAAGTTATTAATACTTATTATCTCATCTTAAAATTATTAATAATTATTATCTTTGATTATGTGTGTGTTGGGGGGGGGGGGGGG